TCAATCTCCCTCGGCCTGGGGCTCCATGCAAGATCTCACCTTGTGGAGTTGAAATGATCATGAGAACGGTGAGGAATCAGCCCAGAACTACACGGGAGGATCTTGTCAATGATCTCAAGGCAGCTGGGACCATAGTCACCAAGAAAACAATTGGTAACACACTACGCCGTGAAGGACTGAAATCCTGCAGCACCCGCAAGGTCCCCCTGCTCAAGAAAGCACACATACATGCCTGTCTGAAGTTTGCCAATAAACATCTGAATGATTCAGAGGACAACTGGGTGAAAGTGTTGTGGTCAGATGAGACCAAAATGGAGCTCTTTGGCATCAACTCAACTCGCCGTGTTTGGAGGAAGAGGCATGCTGCCTATGACCCCAAGAACACCATCCCCACCGTCAAACATGGAGGTGGAAACATTATGCTTTGGGGGTGTTTTTCTGCTAAGGGGACAGGACAACTTCACCGCATCAAAGGGACGATGGACGGGGCCATGTACCGTCAAATCTTGGGTGAGAACCTCCTTCCCTCAGCCAGGGCATTGAAAATGGGTCGTGGATGGGTATTCCAGCATGACAATAACCCAAAACACATGGCCAAGGCAACAAAGGAGTGGCTCAAGAAGAAACACATTAAGGTCCTGGAGTGGCCTAGCCAGTCTCCAGACCTTAATCCCATAGAAAATCTGTGGAGGAAGATGAAGGTTCGAGTTGCCAAACGTCAGCCTCGAAACCTTAATGACTTGGAGAAGATCTGCAAAGAGGAGTGGGACAAAATTCCTCCTGAGATGTGTGCAAACCTGGTGGCCAACTACAAGAAACGTCTGACCTCTGTGATTGCCAACAAGGGTTTTGCCACCAAGTACTAAGTCATGTTTTGCAGAGGGGTCAAATACTTATTTCCCTCATTAAAATGCAAATCAATTTATAACATTTTTGACATGCGTTTTTCTGGATTTTTGTTGTTGTTATTGTCTCTCACTGTTCAAATAAACCTACCATTAAAATTATAGACTGATCATTGCTTTGTCAGTGGACAAACGTGCAAAATAAGCAAGGGATCAAATACATTTTTCCCTCACTGTACAGCGGCAGGGTCGGGAACGAACCCACGAACCTCCTGTGTACCGGGCGAGGTAGTTAACATTTCCTAGCCACCACGTGGCTAACAGGCGCTGCGACGAGATCGTTCCGCGACAAAGGTAATGTTTTGGGTTAGATCGCGTGTGTATGAACGTGCCGTTAAACCCGCCAACCAACCGCCAATCGGCGAGGTGTGTCGCGCCGACAAAACGTGCCAACCAAGTTACCGCTTCGGCGCACCGGCCGCGTGTCGGGAGAGTGAACCCACAGCAACGTTTACAATTCGAGTAACCGTGAAAGTTTCGACGGCGACCACAAACAACAACCGGCTTCATCAGGCGATTTAGCCAGAATTGTCAGGAAGTCCTCCCGTTCGTCGGTCTGAAACAAGAGCGGCTAATCGGTGATGCCATCACTGCGAGCCCATCCCCGGCACGAAGACCCGACGGCAGGTGGCGGGGTCAATGTGGTCATCGCAAAATGAAGGCCTACGCGCGGGAGACACGGAGGCACGGAACGGTCTCCCTCATCGTTGACTTGGCGACTTTCCGTCGGTCTACCCCCCGGCGGGGATTGGTGAGCGGGAGGGGGTTGCGGCGCCAGGCAGCGCCGCTTCCTGCGCCACGCGACTTTTTGCTGCCAAGCCATCGGACAAAGACGGTGGTCACCGCGTCGCGCAGCGCACCCAAGACGCGCTTCGTGCGGCCGTCTGGAACGCTCTTCCTTCCGATATCAGGAAGCCGCTGGGAGCTACGCCACGCTTAAATCATCGTCGAGATTGACAGACTCGTTTCTTTAGAACTGCTTTTTGTGTGTTTAGTTTGCTCTCCTTCCCCCCCCCCCCCCACCGCACCGCCGTTTAGCGCGGTTGGTTGCGTATGGTGCGAAATACATAGACTCATACAGAGACACACAGACTCATACAGAGACCCATTGACTCACACAAGAGACACATAGACACACACAGAGACACATAGACTCACATAGAGACACAGACTGACACAGAGACCCATAGACTCACGCAGAGACACGTAGACTCACGCAGAGACACGTAGACTCACGCAGAGACCCATAGACTCACACAGATACCTATAGTCACACAGAGACGCACAGACCAACACAGAGACCCAAAGACTCACACAGAGACCCATAGACTCACACAGAGACCCATAGACCCACACAGAGACCCATAGACTCACACAGAGACCCATAGACTCACACAGAGACACACAGACTCACACAGAGACACATATACTCACACAGAGACCCATAGACTCACACAGAGACTCGAGACCCATAGACTCACAGAGACCCAGACCCACACAGAGACCCATAGAATCACACAGAGACGCACAGACTCACACAGAGATCCATAGAGTCACAGAAAGACGCATAGACCCACACAGACCCATAGACTCACACAGAGGCCCATAGACTCACACAGAGGCCCATAGACTCACACAGAGGCCCATAGACTCACACAGAGACCCATAGACTCAGAAACAGATCCATAGACCCACAGAGAGACACATAGACTCAGACACCATTGCACAATAAACCCCATCTCAATGAACAAATCACAATTTGACTCCGCACTGAAGCGAGCTCTCCTGCTGATCAGATAACACTATGTAACACCATTGTTGTTCCTGGGGAGTGTTTCTTGCTAACTGCTTATGCCTCAAAAGTATAGAAAACAGCTATTATTCCCCACAAACTTTTATTTTGTGACCAAGACTTTATATGAAGTAATGACACAAATGCACACCACGTTTTCCCATTGAAAATTGCTCAATTTCAAAATATCACTGTCCTGGTCACAAAAGCAAAGTTTCTGGGGAATAAATAGCCATTTTCTGCACTTTTGAGGCATAAGCAATTTGAAAAAAAGACACTTACTACACCGGGAACAAAAATGTGTGTGTTTTGTTTTCGTTACACAGTGTAAGCATCATCGTCGTCGTCGCTGTCCTCTCGGAGTGACCTCCATCACGGTTGGCTGCGTACGATGCTAAAGAAGTTCCACACACGCACAGACGCACAGACGCACAGACGCGCAGACGTACAGACGTACAGACGTACAGACGTACAGACGCACAGACGTACAGACGTGCAGACGTGCAGACGTGCAGACGTACAGACGCGCAGACGTACAGACGTACAGACGTACAGACGTACAGACGTACAGACGCACAGACGCGCAGACGTGCAGACGTACAGACGCGCAGACGTGCAGACGTGCAGACGTACAGACGCGCAGACGCACAGACGTACAGACGTACAGACGTACAGACGCACAGACGCGCAGACGCGCAGACGTGCAGACGCGCAGACGTGCAGACGCACAGACGCGCAGACGTACAGACGTACAGACGTACAGACGTACAGACGCGCAGACGTGCAGACGTGCAGACGCGCAGACGCACAGACGCACAGACGTACAGACGTACAGACGCACAGACGCACAGACGCGCAGACGTACAGACGCGCAGACGTGCAGACGCACAGACGCGCAGACGTACAGACGTACAGACGTACAGACGTACAGACGCGCAGACGTACAGACGCACAGACGTACAGACGTACAGACGTACAGACGTACAGACGTACAGACGCACAGACGTACAGACGTACAGACGTACAGACGTACACACGCACAGACGTACAGACGTACAGACGTACAGACGTACACACGCACAGACGCGCAAGTCTCTACCAGTCGCGCAACAACGCCGGCGCTGACAACCGGCGGGTGTGGACCCCCCCCCCCCCACCCGTCCCCCACCTCTCTCGCTCCCTCTCCCCGGCGTGACCGACGGCGACATTGGCAGGCGTTTGCGCATCGCGCGACGGCCCCGAGCCGTTTTGGCAACGGCCGGGTGGAGGAGGGTATACGACACACACACACACACACGCACGCACGCGTGCACGTTTGGCATTTTTTTTAGACGCGCTCGGCCGCGATATCACCGCCCGCCCCCCCCCCCGCCCCCCCCAAAACAGGTCAACTGCGATTAAGTGGGTCAACTTTTTTGTTTGTTTGTTTTTAACCTAGGGTCGTCACGGTTTTAATGATTAATCAATCAATCAATTGGCGCCATGAACGACGCCCGAGAGCCTCCCTCGGCGAGGCGACGAGTGTCAACCTCGCCGCGTCCCTTGGCGAGGTGGCACCGTTTTTACCCAAGACAAAACTTCCCAGCCACACCCACCCGGATAGCCTTCAACAGACCGTGTAAGGGGCGAGCGCCGTTCGCCAGCAGCAACCTATGAAGGCCGGCACGGCGCACAGAGGGGGTGGGTGGCCAGCACCACGCCCGGCCGCCTTTGTCTCCCCGGTGGCGATGTTCACGCACCGCACCGGGTACTCGCCTGAGGTTGAGTTGAGCTAGGGAAAGGCCCCAGGACCGGCTTTAAATATTGGCCACTGTTATTGGTCGGGAGGGAGGATCGAACTTGGCTCTCCTGCGGGTGTGTAGCGCAGCGCCACCGCTCCCCACGCTGGAGTGTAGCGCACACACACGCACGCACGCACGACCACTCCTCCGATGGCGAATGCTCATATATAACTGTACACACTACTTAAATAAGTACAAACACACACGTATGAAAATGTATATGTACATTTAGAAGAACCCTATTCACTCGCGCGCAAACACATTCACCACTGGTACAACTCGACGCACACACGCACACCTACTCACTCACATCACCATCACACAAACATACCTACTCGCATCACCATGACACACACACACACCTACTCACATCACCATCACACACACATACCTACTCACATCACCATCACACACACACATACCTACTCACATCACTATCACACACAGGCACAACTAATCACATCACACACATCTACTCACGAAAAACAAAGATCCCCCATATAGCCAGTAACAGACTGTAGGGGCAAGTGCTGATAGCGAGCGCCTATGAAGGCCGGCATGGCACACGAGGGGGTGGGTGGCCAGCACCACGCCCGGCCGCCTTTGTCTCCCTGGTGGCGATGTTTTACACACCACACCAGGGTACTCGTTTGAAGCCGAGCCATAGCTAGGTTGAGGGCCAGGACCGGTTCAGATAATCGTCACCGGTGTTGGCCACGAGCGGGAATCCAGCTCAGTTCGCCGGGTTCGTAGTGCAGCGCAGCGCTAACCACTGCGCTACCGCTTCCCACGACAAAGACGCAGACAAAAACAACACAGGCAGACAACACGCACGTACGTGGACACACACACACACACAGTAACACAACCACACAATAGGAAAACACGCGCACACACACAGTCACACAACACACCAAGACAATCAATGACTGTTAAGGCTGTCACAGCACACAAGGGGCTGGTGTGGCAAGCACACACACACACACACAGTGACGAAGATCCTCCCCCCCGCCCCCCCCTTCGTAGCGTTAACAAGACCGTTGGGGCAAGCGCTGTTAGCGAGCACCTATTAAGGCCGGCACGGCACGCGAGATGGGTTGGGTGGACAAACTGCGCGCCAGTCACGATTTTTACCGCACCGTACCGGGTGCCCATCTGAGGCCGACGAGGGGAGGAGGCCCAGGACCGGCGCAGATAATCGCCACCGGCGTTGGCGGCGGCCGTCGGCGGGAATCGAACCCGGGGTCGCCGGGGTCCGCAGAGCAGGGCGCTAGCCGCCGCGCCACCGCTCCCCACACACGCAGAGAGAGGTGCGCGCAGACAAATCGAACCCGGTGGTCGCTGGTTGACGACGGGCGATCGCGACGTTCGGTAACGACGGCCTGCGGCCACTGCCGACAACGGCCAAGGATGACGACCGCACCGGCCGACGACGCCGGAGGAGTGGGAGGAGGAGGGGGTGGGGGTGGGGGTGGGGGGGTGGGGGGGACGCGGTTCACTGCTGCTGCTGCATCTTCTTGATGACGTCGGCGGAGATGGGCGGGTGGAAGGCGATGGTGTGGTGGCGCAGGCCCTGCGCTGTCTTGTAGCTCTTGCTGCAGCGGCACTTGAAGGGCTTGCGCACGCGCACCTGAGTCCGGTGGCCGTTCTTGGCGTGGTACTTGATTCCGTTCACGTTCTGCGGAGGGCAGAATAAGTAAATAGCATTGAGAGAAGAAGAAGAAGAAGGAGAGGAAGAGGAAGAAGAAGAAGAAGAAGAGGATGAAGAGGAAGAGGAAGAAGAAGAGGAAGAAGAAGAAGAAGAAGAGGATGAAGAGGAAGAAGAAGAAGAGGAAGAAGAAGAAGAGGATGAAGAGGAAGAGGAAGAAGAAGACAAAGAAGAAGAAGAAGAAAAAACTTTACGCTAAGAGAATGAAAACGAGCTCGAGTGTGATGGGAAAAAAAAGAAATATATGTACAGTGAGGGAAAAAAAGTATTTGATCCCCTGCTGATTTTGTACGTTTGCCCACTGACAAAGAAATGATCAGTCTATAATTTTAATGGTAGGTTTATTTGAACAGTGAGAGACAGAAAAACAACAAGAAAATCTAGAAAAACGCATGTCACAAATGTTATAAATTGATTTGCATTTTAATGAGGGAAATAAGTATTTGACCCCCTCTCAATCAGAAAGATTTCTGGCTCCCAGGTGTCTTTTATACAGGTAACGAGCTGAGATTAGGAGCACACTCTTAAAGGGAGTGCTCCTAATCTCAGCTTGTTACCTGTATAAAAGACACCTGTCCACAGAAGCAATCAATCAATCACATTCCAAACTCTCCACCATGGCTAAGACCAAAGAGCTCTCCAAGGATGTCAGGGATAAGATTGAAGACCTACAGAAGGCTGGAATGGGCTACAACACCATTGCCAAGCAGCTTGGTAAGGTGACAACAGTTGGTGCGATTATTCGCAAATGGAAGAAACACAAATGAACTGTCAATCTCCCTCGGCATGGGGCTCCATGCAAGATCTCACTTCGTGGAGTTGCAATGATCATGAGAACGGTGAGGAATCAACCCAGAACTACACGGGAGGATCTTGTCAATGATCTCAAGGCAGCTGGGACCATAGTCACCAAGAAAACAATTGGTAACACACTACGCCGTGAAGGACTGAAATCCTGCAGCGCCCGCAAGGTCCCCCCTGCTCAAGAAAACACATATACATGCCCGTCTGAAGTTTGCCAATGAACATTTGAATGATTCAGAGGACAACTGGGTGAAAGTGTTGTGGTCAGATGAGACCAAAATGGAGCTCTTTGGCATCAACTCAACTCGCCGTGTTTGGAGGAGGAGGAATGCTGCCTATGACCCCAAGAACACCATCCCCACCGTCAAACATAGAGGTGGAAACATTATGCTTTGGGGGTGTTTTTCTGCTAAGGGGACAGGACTTCACCGCATCAAAGGGATGATGGACGGGGCCATGTACCGTCAAATCTTGGGTGAGAACCTCCTTCCCTCAGCCAGGGCATTGAAAATGGGTCATGGATGGGAATTCCAGCATGACAATGACCCAAAACACACGGTCAAGGCAACAAAGGAGTGGCTTAAGAAGAAGCACATTAAGGTCCTGGAGTGGCCTAGCCAGTCTCCAGACCTTAATCCCATAGAAAATCTGTGGAGGGAGCTGACGGTTCGAGTTGCCAAACGTCAGCCTCGAAACCTTAATGACTTGGAGAAGATCTGCAAAGAGGAGTGGGACAAAATTCCTCCTGAGATGTGTGCAAACCTGGTGGCCAACTACAAGAAACGTCTGACCTCTGTGATTGCCAACAAGGGTTTTGCCACCAAGTACTAAGTCATGTTTTGCATAGGGGTCAAATACTTATTTCCCTCATTAAAATGCAAATCAATTTATAACATTTTTGACATGCGTTTTTCTGGATTTTGTTGTTGTTATTCTGTCTCTGACTGTTCAAATAAACGTACCATTAAAATTATAGACTGATCATTTCTTTGTCAGTGGGCAAACGTACAAAATCAGCAGGGAATCAAATACTTTTTTCCCTCACTGTATATAGAAAAAATAATCTGAAAAAAATCCGAAATATTCGCCGACATGAGACATTTTCAACGATGTTATCCGAAATTGTGATGGCGGTGCATGTGTGTGTGTGGCGCTGTGTGTGTGTGCGTGTGTGCCATGTGTGTGTGCACGTGCTGTGTGTGTGTGCGTGCCGTGTGTGTGTGCGTGCCGTGTGTGTGTGCGTGCCGTGTATGTGTGCGTGCCGTGTGTGCGTGCGTGCGTTTGTATTTTATGTGTGTGTGTAAGTGCTGCTTCTTAACCTGGAGTGTAGCACTAAGAGGCGGGGTCTTACCATTAGCCCCACCTGGGTATTTTGTGCCACCAAAAACTCCACCCCCTCAGCTCCCCATTGGTGATGGAGTAGTTGTGAAGAGTGGAGAGTATCCCATACCTGGGTAATATGATTGTGACCAGCTCCGGTTTGACAACAGAGGCCTCACTCCGAATCAGTTGGGGTGGCATTATCTTTTCATCGACTACACAATGCTGTGTGGAAGCTACCTAGTCTGTCGCTCCACACGAAGCTTCGTGTCTGTGCCGTTTAGAAACATTCAAGCTGGCCTGCCTACGATCCATTCTGGGTTTAACCAGGCTGGATTGTGTGAGAAGCTCACAAATCCTTGAAAGGATTGGACACATTCCCATTGGTAAGCTCCTTCGGCAGGCAAAGCTGCGTTGGCTGGGTCATTTAGCCCGCATGCCCAGCCACCGCATGGCCAAGCAGTTTCTGTTTGGCTGCATAGATGGGGCGAAACGGGCACGACATGGGCTCGAGAAGAGATGGAGTGATGATGTGGTACGGGTAAGATGTGGAGCTGGGTGGACTTGCCGACGACTGGTACCAGCGGTGTCAAGATCGGCCTCTGTGGAGGAGGCTCGTGAAGGACGCTGCTACTGGCCAATTGGAGGCAGTCGCCCTCCAACAACAACGGATGGCAGAGGAGTGACGCTCACAACAACGAGCGGAGGAGCGCCTGGTGGCTAAAACACATCAAGTTGGCACAGTCGGGGGAAGGCTGGTGTGTCTTCCGGTCACCTCAGTCAGCCAACCCATTGCACCTGGGTCTGTCCCGAGACCTCTTGTCAGTGAGCCGTTGACACTTCACATGGCGTCAGGGTGCACATAGCCTGGCACAAGCGTCGTGGTGACGTCACCGCCACTTCGTGGCGAATGGCGGTTGTTGTTGTGTGTGGGGAGCGGTAGTGTAGCGGTTAGCGCGCTGCGCTATGAACCCGGCGACATGGGTTCGATTCCCGCTCACGGCCAACACCAGTGACGATTATCTGAACCGGTCCCGGGCCTCCCCTAGGTCGACTCAGCCTCAAATGAGTACCTGGTGCAGTGTGTAAACATTGTCACTAGGGAGACAAAGGCGGTCGGGCGTGGTGCTGGCCACCCACCTCTTCGTGTACCGTTACCGGCCTTCATAGGTGCTCGCTAACAGCACTTGCCCCTACAGTCTGTTAAGGCTATATGGGGGATCTTTGTCTTTGTTTTGTGTGTGCGTGTGTGCGTGTGTGCGTGTGTGTGCGCGTATGTCCGCGTATGTCCGCGCATGCGTGTGCGTATGTCCGCGTGTGCGTGTGTGCGTGTGTGCGTGTGTGCGTGTGTGTGCGTGCGTGTGTGTGCGTGCGTGTGTGCGTGTGTGCGTGTGTGTGCGTGCGTGTGTGCGTGTGTGCGTGTGTGCGTGTGTGCGTGTGTGCGTGTGTGCGTGTGTGCGTGTGTGCAGCGCTGCGGGGGACCTTGTAGCGCTTCTTGCAGCCGGGCACGGGGCACGCGAAGGGCTTCTCGTCGTCCCCGTTCATGCTCATGGTGCTCAGGATGGTCTCCGAGCTGATGGCGCTCTCCGTCGTCCAGGACTCGTCGCTGTCCGACTCCTCGCAGTCCACCTCCTCTTCGTCGAACTCGCTCCCTGCCCCGCGCACGACGACGACGACGACGACAATCGCCGCGACGATCACGGTGACGATGATGACGATCGCGACGACGCTCACCTCGACGATCACCTCGGTGATCACGATGACGATGACACCGATGATGATGATGACGACGACGCTGCTGATGCTTGTAACAATAATGCTGATTCTGATGATGCTGATACTGCTACTGCTGATGATGATGATGAATCTCCCCACTAACCACCCCTTTGCACCTGTGGAGGTGTTTGCTTCTGCTGCTGCTGCTCACGCTGATGAAAATACTGCTGCTGACGCTGCTGCTGACGCTGCTGATGACGACAAGAATAATAAATCCACCCCCCCCCCCCCCCTCGCACACACCTGTGGGGGTGTTGCTCCGGAAGGACGATGCCGGAGTGATGGGCGGCGTCACGGGCGGCGTGAGGCTGCCCGAGTTTTGCCTCTGCGCCGCATTGGGGGTCCCTCCTCCTCCTCCTCCTCCGCCACCTCCTCCTCCGCCACCTCCTCCTACACCTCCGCCGCCACCACCCCCGCCTCCTCCACCTCCTCCGCCGCAGGCTCTCGCGCCTCCCCCCGTGATGGCGAGCGTGACCTTGGCCTGGCTGCGTTTGCGTATCTGCTCATGCTCGCGACGCGTGGCGTCCGTCATGAACCTGCCGGCGCGAGGGAGGTCGTGAGTGTCGGGGTAAAGGCGCGGCCCCTGCAATTGTCGGCTCGAAGCCACCGCCGGTTGTGGAAAGGTGGGGCGGCCCACCGCATCATCTCGCAGCGCTCGCTTCTGCGGCCGCTTGGGTCGGTCCTTCCTTCCGATACCAGGAAGCCACTGGGAGCGCTGCACTCAGACCAGATTGGCAAACTCGTTCCTGTAGAACTGCTGTCACAATGACGGCTGGGACGGTCGGTTTTTTGGTCTAATTTCTTTTAAGATTCGTGGACGCAATTTCGTTAATTTTTTTTTTGCTTTGCTTGTGCCATTGAGTTGACCCCAGAGGTTGACACTCTTGTAATTGAGACTTATATCCTGGTCCCGTGATTTCTCACCTGGACGGTTAAACCAAAATCAACTTGAAATCCAGCTGAGCATTGCCCCTCTGATTGCACTTTCTTGTTAGTGGATGTCATCTGCCACCTTCTGGCCAGGTGAGCATCAACAGCATTCACTTTTCGATTTAAAGCTTTCGTGACTGCAAGGATTCATCTTCTTTGGTTCTTTCGGTAAAGTCACGTAGAATGAGAATAAAATAATAAATTAATAAAATAAAATAACACAATAAAATTCCCACGACGTTTCGGCCACAACACAAGCGGCCTTCATCGGATGTTACTTTATTAATTTATTAATGTATTCTCATTCTATGTGACTTTACCGAAAGAACCAAAGAAGAAGCATTCACTTTGTGCATTTTATTTTATCATTCCGTTCTTTAACGCAGGAAAAGGCCCCGAGTCTGAAGGCTCTTTTCAGGAGGGTCCTGCCAAGTATTTGACGGGGGAGGGCGATGCTGCTGCTGCTGCTGCTGCTGCTCCTACTGCCGCTGTGTGTGATCTGCGGTGTGTGAAAGTGATCTGCGGTGTAAATTTTTTCAGCCGTTGTGGCGCCCCAGTCAGGAATTGAACCGGAGTGTAAGAACCGGATGGACCAGGTCACATGGACCAGATCCTAAGGGATCAGATGGAACAGGACATAAGGACAAAATTAACTAGATGAACCAGGTCATAGGGACAACATGGAATGGTTCATAGAGACCAGATAGACCGGTCCATAAAGGGTCCAAATGGACCGGTTCATAGGGCCCAGATAGACCAGTCCAGGGATCAGATAGACCGGTCATTAGAAACCAGATGGACTGGTCCATAGGGACCAGATGGACCGGTCCAGAGGGAATAGATGGACCGGTCCAGAGGGAACAGATGGACCGGTCCATAGGGACCAGATAGACTGGTCCATAGCGTCCAGATGGACCAGAGACACCAGTCCATAGGCTCCAGATGGACCGGTCCATCCGAATCAGACATTATCATGGTGGCCAAATGAACCAGGTGCCAGGGAGCATTATGGACCAGGTTTAGACTGGAAGATTCCAGGTTAGGACCACAGAAGCAACCTGGCTCCACAAAGCAGGCTTATCACGTGGAAACATATAGCAGCAGCCAAATATCCTAAACGCACGCTGATTCTAAAAAAACGGAGGGCCCCCGGAGGAAAATCCACACGACCACAGGGAGAGAGACACGCGAACTCCAAACATACAGCAGCAGGTGTCAGGGACGGGATCTAACCCACGACCTCCTGCAAACCAGGACGAGGTAGTTCACATCTCCCAGCCACCGGCCCTATAGGGACCCTCACCTGCTGATGTAGCTGAGTGCGATGTACGTCGGCTGCTGCAGCTCCTGGATCTCCAACACTCTGGGGTCACTCTCTGGAGTGCACAAAAGACAAGGGGGGACAGACTGTTGGGGATAGGCGCCGTCAGCGAGCACCTATTAAGGCCGGCATGGCACACGGGAGGAATGGGGTGGCCACAACTGCTCGTAGAGCCCTCTGCCTCCCCAGTGCTGATGTTTACACACCGCACCGTGTACTGTACTAATTTATAGCCGAGTCGACCTAGGGGTGGCCCAGTATCCAACGGTTCAGATAATTATCGTCACCGATGTTGGCTGTGAGCGGGAACTGAACTCGGGCCTACCAGATTCGTAGCGCAGTGCGCTTACACGTAGCACCGCCGCTCCGCCACACCCACCACCACCACACCCCCATCAACATCATGCCCATCATCCTCATCACCAACACCATCACATCCATCGCCCTCATCATTACACCAATCATTACCATCATCACACCCATCATCATCACCACCACGCCCATGATACTCATCACCATCACACCATCTGAAATGTACAAGCGCGCACACAGACACATGAACACATACACGAGCGTGAACACACACGCACACAACAACAGCAGCAAATGCCATTCTTCGCTCATGGTGATGTCACCACGGCACTGTACCAGGCTAGGTGCACCAGGCTAGGTGAGATCATGAGACAGACCCATATGTAACAAGTTAACTGATCGGAGATGACTGGCAGATGCACCACCCTTGTGTTCTCCACTGAGCCGCCTCACTACGTTTTATCCGTCCGGAGCTCCACTCGTTGTTGTGAGCGTCACTCCTCCGTTGGTTGCTGGAGGGCGACTGCCTCCAACTGACCGCCAGTAGCAGCGTCCTTCACGAGCTTCCTCCTCCGCAGAGGCCGATCCTGGCACGGCTGGGGTAGCGGTCATCGGCGAGTCCACTCAGCTCACCCACTCACCGACCCGCTTGCTTACCACTCCATCGCTTCTCTCCAGCCCCGTGCAGCGCCCGTTTAGCCCCCCTCGATCAAACCAAACAGAGTGCAGCTGCTGGGGCATGTGGTGGCATAATCATCACCACCCATCACAAATCATGGCCATCACACTATCAACAACAACAACAACCGCCAATCGCCACTAAGTGGCGGTGACGTCACCACGATGCTTGTGCCAGGCTAGGTGCACGTTGAGGCCACGTGAAGTGTCGAAGGCCCGCTGGCAGGAGGTCACGGGGCAGACCCAGGTGCCACGAGTTGACTGACTGAGACGACTGAGATGAGTGGCTGATGCACCACCTGTGCCCCCTACTGTGCCATCACACTATCACCACCACCCTCACCATCATCAGCCCCATCACCGTCACCCCCAACACCCTACGTCATCACACCATCACCCCCGCCCCCCATACACGTTTACCAATGTAACGTGTCCAATGTATTCGTGGTGATCTGTGATTACCCTCACCATCACAACTCCCATCATTTTAACAATCATCACCCTCACTTAATCATCATCCATGGTCAATCCACTGCTGGATGAAGGCCTATGATTATCACATCACCTCACTACCTTAACCCCCATCACCATCCCCATCATCATACTACCCGCCCCTCCCATCATCACCATCACCCCGTTCACACCCATCACCACCCACACGTATGAGCTCACCATCATAGCAAACTTCCCCATCGTCCACATCACACACTCACCATCACTCCCATCACCCCAACATTGATCACGCTCAATTAGAGGTATCACCCTCCACCACGACCCTAACCCCCATCACCATCACCACTCCCATCACTCAATAATCATCATCGGGCATGGTCATTCCACTGCTGGATGAAGGTGTATGATCACGACCATCACCACCATCAACGATGTGTGCGTACTCAATCGCCTCTCAATCAACTCGCATGCCCTTACCTCCATCACACACCACCCTCATCACATCCGCCATCACCACTATTACCTCATCACTCTCATCATCACCCCCATCATCACAATTACCACACCATCACTCTCATTGTATGTAACATCACCGCCCTCCCCATCACCACCCTCATCACCAACCACCTTCATCACCGGCCATCATTATCACAATCGCCACCCCATCGCCACCGATGTGGGTGTGGACTCTCAATCACCATCACACACCACCCTCATCACATCCACCATCACCACTATTACCTCATCGCTCTCATCATCACCCCTTCATCATACCCCCATCATATCACACCATCACTCTCATTGCCTCATCATCACCGCTCCATGACCCCATCACCATCGCTTCACGAGCCATGATCAATCTACTGCTGGATGAAGGCCCAATCATGATCACGATCACCAACCACAACGACCACGACCACCCTCTCACCACCACCATCACCAACCCACCCCATCACCTCCATCAACCCCCGCTCAACGATGCGAGTGTACTCAATCGCCTCCCAATGAACTATCAAGCCCTGAACCTCCATCACCATCACGCCACCCTCATCACATCCACCATCACCACCATCTGTATTACCTCATCACCCCATCACTAAGCCATGGTCAATCCACCGCTGGATGAAGGCCCTATCATGGTTACGATCACCAACCACAAAGATCACCACCACCCTCTCACCATCATCATCACCAACCCACCCCATCACCACCATCAACCCCCGCTCAACGATGTGAGTGTACTCACCACTATTACCTCATCACTCTCATCAATCGCCTCCCAATGAACTATCAAGCCCTGAACCTCCATCACCATCACAGCACCCTCATCACATCCACCATCACCACAATCTGTATTACCTCATCACCCCATCACTAAGCCATGGTCAATCCACCGCTGGATGAAGGCCCTATCATGGTCACGATCACCAACCACAAAGACCACCACCACCCTCTCACCACCATCATCATCACCCACCCAACCCCATCACTACCATCAACCCTCGCTCACCGATGTGAGTGTACTCAGTCAGCTCCCAATGAACTATCAAGCCCTGAACCTCCACCACCATCACATCCACCATCACCATCACATCCACCATCACCATCACATCCACCACCACCATCACCCCTATTACCTCATCACCACCCCGCATAACCCCATCACCCAGCCCATGGTCAATCCACCGCTGGATGAAGGCCCTATCATGGTCACGATCACCAACCACAACGACCACCACCACCACCATCATCACCACCACCACCACCATCACCCCCCGCTCACCGATGTGCGTATCTTCTATGTGCTCAATGAGCTCGCCGAGAGACGGGAACGCGAGCCCGCAGCCACTGAAGCGACACGCGTTCGAGAAGAAAGAGACGGCCGCCACTCCCGTCATCTTCGTTCCCACGTCGTCGATGATGATGATTGGAGATTGGTGGTGGGTGGTGGTGGTTGATAGTGGTGGTGGTGGTTGGTGGTGGTGGCTGGGTGATGGTGAGCAGCGGACCCGTGGGTGACCCCCGGCCGCCGCCCGCTCGCCCGTCACTCGCTCCGTGGCGTCGCCCGTCGCGATACCCCCCGCAGTGCCCGCGGGTGCCCCCACTGCAATTCGTAACGCGGATAGGTGTCGGCGCGACGCGATTAGCTGGGGCTGCAAAGCGTGGCCAATCGCTGCAGCGCGCCGAGGGGGACGCGTTGCAGACTCTGGCCTATTGGAAGGCAGCGTCGCTGCACCATATCCCGAAGCGTTGTAGGTATTTCAGTAATGGAGACGGGACGTTACATTGTGGGGTGAAAGGTTGGTGCCTTCTTCATTTAATTTTAAATGTAAGCAAACAATACACGTCTTCTCTTTACCTATACGCTGTAGGCGCGTGATTAAAATGATCAACATTTTATTTTTGTAATTATTTGTCTGCGTTTTAATGCTTTTATTATAATTCAGAGACGTAGCACCCCCCTCCACCCCCCCCCCTCCTGTGTGTGAATGGCACCATCTGACAGGCAGGCCCCCACCAACACGTGATGGCGGGAACGCGCCATCGTGCGTGCAGCTGCAAATGCAGCATTCCACGTTGATATGGCCGGGCCCAGCACATTATAACAATTGACCAATGTGCTGAGTTTAATATATGTTTTTTTTTTTAAATATCCAATAGGTCAACCATTGGGTTTGTTTTAAGTTCAGTATTGCTTTAGAGTTTAGAGCAAAGGCCCCCAAAAACGCCAAACGGCCAGTAACAAACAACACCGTTAACGTAATGTAATATTTCGCGACCAATATTAATAAAGGTTTTTTGGGGGGTTGGATCGCGTAAGTATAAATGTGTCGTAGCCCGCCACCACCCGACAGCCAGCCAGTAAAGTCACGTAGATAGAAAATAATAAATAGACCAACGACGTTTCGGTCGCAACACAAGCGTCCGTCATCAGGTGATAAAGAATTCATTCTAATATTTGACTGTTCCCGTTCACCTTAATGACGGACGCTTGTGTTGCGACTTTACCGAAAGAACCAGAGAGTATGGATTACTGCAGTCACGAAAGCTTCAAATCAAGCTGTTAGCCAGCCAGGAAGGTTTGCCACGTAAACAAAACGTGTCAATTACAAACACACTCATTCACTCATCCACGCACTCACTCATCATCTCACTTAATAAATCAATTGCTCACTCATTCACTCACCCACCTACACACCCACTCATAACCTCACTCATTCACTCACCCACCCACCTACACACTCATAACCTCACTCATTCACTCACCCACCCACCTACACACTCATAACCTCACTCACTCATTCACTCACCCATCCACCTACACACTCATAACCTCACTCATTCACTCACCCACCCACCTACACACTCATAACCTCACTCATTCACTCACTCACCCACCCACCTACACACTCACTCATAACCTCACTCACTCATTCACTCACCCACCCACACACCCACTCATTCACCCCTCCCCCCCACTCAATCACTCACCCACACACTCACCCACACACTCATCAACTTACCCAATCACCCATTCACGAAGCCACTCACTCAGTCACACACCCTTGTAACTGAGACTCCTATCCTAGTCCCGTGATTTCTCACCTGGACGGTTAAACAAAAATGAACTTGAAATTCAGCTGAGAAAAAAATAATAAATAGACCAACGACGTTTCGGTCGCAACACAAGCGTCCGTCATCAGGTGATAAAGAATTCATTCTAATATTTGACTGTTCCCATTCACCTTAATGACGGACGCTTGTGTTGCGACTTTACCGAAAGAACCAGAGAGTATGGATTCCTACAGCTTTAAATAAATATAGAGATCACGTTCTACTTAATTAAATAGACTTTTTTAATAAATGTTTTCTCCTACAACATCAGAGTGCAGCGCCACCTTAAATACGCACTACAATGACAATAGTTTAAAGAGATTTGAAGCATGTGTTTTTTTTTAGGGGGGGGGGGGTGGGGCAGAGCTTTGTGACGTCATATTTGAGGGGGGGTCTGATTTTTTATCACGCCGTGTGACGAGGGGGGGGGGGGGTCAAAAATCATTCATGGACGGCCCCTAAATGAGGTGATTGAACGGGAACAGTTAAATATTATCCCCCCCATCATCATTCGCCTTGTAATGTTCAACCCCTCACACCACCAATCCTTATCTTATTTTAAATTTATAGAGCGTCTTTGCTCAAGGCGCTTAACATTGTTTACAAAAATTGGTACAATAAAAATAAGTATGATGGAAGGGGCATGGAAGGGATGACGAATGAGTGACTGCGATAGAGAGGACTTATGTTCATCAGAAGTAACATTGTCATCATGAACAACAACAGCCGCTATTCGACATGGCACTTGCGCCAGGCTAGGTGCACTCCGAGGCCACGTGAAGTGTCGAAGGCTCGCTGGGGCAGACCCAGGTGCCACGGGTCGACTGACTGAGATGACTGGCTGATGCACCACCTGTGCCCCTCACTGCCCCAACTCGCTGCCTTTTAGACGCCCCGCGCTCCGCTCATTGTTGTGAGCGTCGCTCCTCCGCCCTCCGTTGTTGCTGGAGGGCGACTGCCTCCAACTGCCCAGTAGCAGCAGCGTCCTTCACTAGCCTCCTCCACAGAGCTCGATCTTGACACCGCTGGTACCACTCATCGGCAGGTCCACTCAGCTTAACATCCTTCTGTGACACATCACTCCATCCCTTCTCCAGCCCGTGCCGCGTTTGTTCGGCCCCCTCTATCCGGCCAAACAGAAGCTGCTCGGGCATGCCGTAGCTGGCTGCGACATGCGGGCTACATGACCCAGCCAACGAAACCTCGCCTGCCGCAGGAGCTCACCGGTGGGAATGTGTCCAGATAATTCCAAGGATTTGTGAGCGGCTCACACAATCCCGCCTGGTTAAACCCAACAGGGATCGTGGACAGGCCAGCCTGAAAGTTTCAAACTGGAGCAGATGTTCCATTACAGGGGGTCTCATCATCACCACCATCATCATCACGACATCTAATCGATATAGTCCCATCGCAATCAGCAGCACCATGGCTCCACGCTTCAAAGTCACGGTCGGTCACCATCATTTAATGTCCCTAAAATATGTTTCGCGTCATAAGTTGCATTACAGGTGTAGTGTAGCGACTTCGGAGACATAGACTGGAGGGACTTATTCTTTATTACTCGCACTCACGCGAATACAACTTGGTAGCACTTAACACAACGCTGACTGGCCAGCGACGACGAAAACGATCCCGATTCCGCCCCCCACCCCACTCCTGGCGCCCCGAGCCCCTTTGCCCGCTCCCCTTTATTCTCCCAGCGCGTCACTGGCTCCGCCCTGGCCACGCCCCCTTTCTCGAACCCTCTAGCGGGGTCCGGAAGCTCCCAGGTGGATCCGCTCACTGACCCTTGGCAAAGTTATCTCTGCCTATGGTCGTTCCCGTGTATACTGTCTTTCAGTCTTGCCCATACTGTTCGCACACTCGCAATTACCACCTATTGGCCGCCAGTCGGCGCACCACTCTACACAGGGACTTCTCTATTTGGGAACATTCGACTTACAAACTTTCAGAGAAACGAAGAAACCTGTCCCGAATGTCCAGGTGCCTATTCGGACCGAGAGTCGTAAGTTCAACCGCCACGCAATAGATGGCGGTGGTGGCATCTACATCTGCAGAACGTGAAGAACCAGTGGCATCTACATCTACAGAACGTGAAGAACCAGTGGCATCTACATCTACAGAACGTGAAGAACCAGTGGCATCTACATCTGTAGAACGTGAAGAACCAGTGGCATCTACATCTACAGAACGTGAAGAATCAGTGGCATCTACATCTGCAGAACGTGAAGAACCAGTAGCATCTACATCTGTAAAACGTGAAGAACCAGTGGCATCTACATCTGCAGAACGTGAAGAACCAGTGGCATCTACATCTGCAGAATGTGAAGAACCAGTGGCATCTACATCTACAGAACGTGAAGAACCAGTGGTATCTACATCTACAGAACGTGAAGAACCAGTGGCATCTACATCTGTAGAACGTGAAGAACCAGTGGCATCTACATCTACAGAACGTGAAGAACCAGTGGCATCTACATCTGCAGAACGTGAAGAACCAGTAGCATCTACATCTGTAGAACGTAAAGAACCAGTGGCATCTACATCTTCAGAACGTGAAGAACCAGTAGCATCTACATCTGCAGAACGTGAAGAACCAGTGGCATCTACATCTACAGACCGTGAAGAACCAGTGGCATCTACATCTACAGAGCGTGAAGAACTAGTAGCATCTACATCTGCAGAACGTGAAGAACCAGTGGCATCTACATCTGCAGAACGTGAAGAACCAGTGACATCTACATCTACAGAACGTGAAGAACCAGTAGCATCTACATCTGCAGAACGTGAAGAACCAGTAGCATCTACATCTGCAGAATGTGAAGAACCAGTGGCATCTACATCTACAGAACGTGAAGAACCAGTGGTATCTACATCTACAGAACGTGAAGAACCAGTGGCATCTACATCTACAGAACGTGAAGAACCAGTGGCATCTACATCTACAGAACGTGAAGAACCAGTGGCATCTACATCTGCAGAACGTGAAGAACCAGTAGCATCTACATCTGTAAAACGTGAAGAACCAGTGGCATCTACATCTGCAAAACGTGAAGAACCAGTGGAATCTACATCTACAGAACGTGAAGAACCAGTGGCATCTACATCTACAGAACGTGAAGAACCAGTGGCATCTACATCTACAGAGCGTGAAGAACTAGTAGCATCTACATCTGCAGAACGTGAAGAACCAGTGGCATCTACATCTGCAGAACGTGAAGAACCAGTGGCATCTACATCTACAGAACGTGAAGAACCAGTAGCATCTACATCTGCAGAACGTGAAGAACCAGTAGCATCTACATCTGCAGAACGTGAAGAACCAGTGACATCTGCAAAACGTGAAGAACCAGTGGCATATATATATATCTACAGAAAGTGAAGAACCAGTGGCATCTACATCTCCAGAACATGAAGAACCAGTGGCATCTGCATCTGAATGAGAATATACAACTTTTAAAGCCATTCCTCGTGTTTAGTGTACACGCCGTACAACATGTTTGGAATCGAGGGGAGTAAAGTTAGACGAACAAATCGACTTACGAACAGACCTCTGGAACCTAACTCGTTCGTAGTAGAGGAATCCCCGTGTTATTATCATTGCCCGCAGAAACACATTCTTTATCAACCTCATTAGCAGCAGTGCAATAATAATAATTACAATGACGAGCAACTTCTTCATCTCTGACACTTCATCATGAGAAGAAACAGCAGCAGCTACGTCATCAGCCCTATCATTATCACAGCCTCATCATCACCATCATTAGTAGCCCCATCATCATCAGCACCTTATTATAATCTCCATCATCAGCAGTCTCATCATCATCATCACCACCATCACGACCTCCATCTAGTACCATCATCATTAACATCGGCATCATCATGAACACATTCATCATCATAAACCCCATCAACAGCAGTAGCCCTAGGGGCCGTCCATAAATGACGTCACGCACCTGGGGGGGTCAGACATTTGTGACGATGTGTGACGAGGGGGGGGGGGGTTGAGAAATATGACGTCACATCAAAATGCGCAACTTTAAAAAGAGACAACACGTTCTACTTATAGGAATAGGTTTTACCCTTTTAACTGGCACAAAAACTGACACCTTTATTCAAGGCATCATGTTTGCAATAACCACAACACAAGCAGTCAAAATGCGAACAAAAAAGACAACTCTGATAATAATATGCACTGTCCTTGAATTTGATTGGTCCACACCCGAGACGGCTTTTCTTAGAGCCTCGTCTCCACTGGTGTTGGACCAGAAGACGCCAAAAGGCGTACAACTCAAAAACAGCGCACTATCAGAGTATTGAGGGCTCGGGGTAAGCATTTACATTATGAGACCTCCTTTGCCAGTAACAAGATATAGGAATAGGTTTTACCCTTTTAACTGGCACAAAAACTGACACTTTTATTCAAAGCATCATGTTTGCAATAACCACAACACAAGCAGTCAAAATGCAAACTAAAAAGACAACTCTGATAATAATATGCACTGTCCTTGAATTTGAGTTGTACGCCTTTTGGCGTCTTCTGGTCCAACACCAATGGAGACTGGGCTCTAAGAAAAGCCGTCTCGGGTGTGGACCAATCAAATTCAAGGACAGTGCATATTATTATCAGAGTTGTCTTTTTTTTTTGCATTTTGACTGCTTGTGTTGTGGTTATTGCAAACATGATGCCTTGAATACAAGTGTCAGTTTTTGTGCCAGTTAAAAGGGTAAAACCTATTCCTATATCTTGTTACTGGCAAAGGAGGTCTCATAATGTAAACGTTCTACTTAATTAAATAGACTTTTAAATAAATGTTTTTTTTCCTACAACATCAGAGTGCAGCGCCACATTAAATACGCACTACAATGAAAATAGTTTAAAGCGATTTAAAGCATGATTTATGTTTTTTTTTGGGGGGGGGGGGCAGAGCTTTGTGACGTCATTTGAGGGGGGGTCTGACTTTTTGTGACGCCGTGTGACGAAGGGAGGGGGGGGTCAAAAATCGTCCAAAATCGCGTGACGTCATTTATGGACGGCCCCCTATGACTCGGAGCAGTTTGCGACATCACTCGCCACTGATAGCTAGTTAGCCTTGGCCGGGAGTCGATCCCATTTTTCCATGTTTGTAGCTCGGTGTGCTCACTACTCCGTGGTCGCGTGTATATTTTTTTAAATCTGGATCCTCCGCTTTTTCCCTCCACATTTAGACAGACGCGTCTATATTATGTTGACTATTTTGCTGCTGTAAATTTCCACACGATAAGCCTCTTTGTTGAGCTATCATTTGTGGTCAATTCGCCTCTGAAAAATACGTTAATAGCTCAGAGGGGTTTACCTGGCAAGATTAAAAAAAACTTAGTTGTATTTGTTTTAAGTGATGTGTTTACCTCCCCTATATTTTGCACTACTGTTTTTTTATGTTGTTGTTTTAACGTTCTGACTCGCCCCTACTGGACATCTATGAAAAAAAGAGCTTTGAAGCTCATCGGATTCCTCCTCCAGTATAACTATATATACTGATGATTTTTTTGTAAATATATACAGGCAGGCCTCGCTTAGCGCGACCCCGTAGAACACCGATTCTGATGAGGGCTCACCTCTCTCGACGAACGCATCTCGAGCGTTAAGCGAGGCCTGCCAGTACAGGCCCTCGTCCCAGCCCCCTGGCCCCGCCTCTATCCCCGCCCCGCGATTCTCATCAGCCAATCGCAGCCCTCCACAGCGTGCGCGGGGCCCCGTCCCCCCACCCACGCAACAGCTGGCGGCGTCACCGCCCCCAAACATCCGGGCACTTCGTCCCTTTATCCGCGCGTGCGCACAGCGAACGTCTCCTTGGACGGGGCCCTGTGGAGGTGAGGGGTTGCGCGCTGGGCCTCCTCCCGAGCCGCCTCGGCCGCCCATGTCAATCCGTTCGCTTTCGTCTCAACTTCGCGGTCATCCGTCGTCGCGAACCCTCGGTCGCGACGCGTCGGCATCCCGTGCATCTCGCCGCCCGTTTATTTTTCGCCGATGTGGCCGCGTCTGAGCGATCGCTCCGTAAAGGGGCCCGCGGCCGCAGGCCCTGAATTTTGACCTCCATATTTTGTCTTTGCCGCTTTTTCTCTCCCCCCCCTCCCCGCCCGCAACCCCAATTCTCTCCCCCGTCTGTACCCTGAACGCAGGTTTTTTTTAAAGTCTCTTTGCTTTAAAGTCGTCGTCATCTTAATCAACCATGTACGCCTGCGCCAAGTTCGTCTCGACCCCGCTCCTGGTGAGTTGTTAATTTGCAAAATTTTAAGATAGAATCTTGAGGCGATTTTTTTTTTCCCCCACCCACCTCTCTCCATGTTGAGCCGGATGCCCCTCGAACGTCGCAGAGGGTAAAGTGAAGGAGAACCCCGCCACAATACAACTTTTTCTTTAAATCACTCTCTCGTCAATCTGACGATTGATGTACTGAAAATCCAACCGAAGCATGTATACGCAAGTACGTATGAGTGTTAATGTTTATACGTCGTTATCGAAGGCTGCGTGCTTAACCTTGCGAAGTGTCTACGCGATGGCAATGGGCCGCCCTTGCTGCCGATTTTGCAACGTTGCTGACACATTATTATTTATTTTTTTACCGGTGAACGCGTTGCACGTCGATTAAATATGTTTTTTTTACGAAGCGTTGATGTTGCAGTAGAGGTAGATTTTTTTTGTTTTTTTTATGCAATTAACTTGGGTGGGGGAAAGTGCAATGTGGTGGCGGTGCCGGCAGTATATTGCGGCAATAGAGATTTTAAAGAGTCGGAACATAACGAGCGTTGTATATTTTATGTCATTTTACGAAGCACTGTATGCATATTAGATGTTGTAATGTTTTAACCTTATTTGTGGTCCCTTTTGTGTAAGCGTAATGTGCCCGGCGTAGTGACACGTCTTTTCGAACATACTATCTCAACAATACAAATTGCACGTTAACTTGAGCTAACACGTGCACAGGTGTGCATTCAAAGTGTTTTATACTGCATAATTTATGTTTAACGCGGTGTTTTTGTGTAATGTGACTTGTCCGTATTCTGAAGTCTCCTACCCGGCGTACTTAAACCCGACTTGACAAGCGATATTTTCATATGCAAAAGTATGCAGTGTGTGTGTGTGCACAACACGTACTTAATGAAACTAACTTAATTTAAACCAAACCTTCATCTCTTGCAGTTAATTGTATTTTTGTATCCGCATTCTCGTGCACAACATGTGCGGCAGCATGACATAACAGCTGATCGTGGCGTGCGCTTGTAATTGATTTTCTAGTTTTTCGATGGATATATATAGGTCACGCCATTTCATTTTGTTCGCGACTGGGGTTTGTGCGTGGTTTTTAGAATGGCTCCACAATTTTTTTTTAACAGCGAGATGGCCCTGGTTTAGTCGTAGAATTGTCCTTCGGTTTGAAGGTCGTGGTGACAGAGGAAGCGAATTCTCTTGGATAGCCACAGGCCCGAATACGTACAGGCGTATAGGTGGCAGCACTGGGGTTTTAGCGATTAGCATTGCTCGGCCACACACACTGCCAGTGAGTGATGCCCACCCTGCCGCTCACCCATCATCACTCACCCACCCTTACCACTCACCCACCCTACCACTCACCCACCCTACCACTCACTCACCCTACCACTCACCCACCCCACCACTCACCCACCCCACCACTCACCCACCCCACCACTCACCCACCCCACCACTCACTCACCCTACCACTCGCCCACCCTACCACTCACCCACCCTACCACTCGCCCACCCTACCACTCACCCACCACTCACCCATCCATCATCGCTCACCCACCCTACCACTCATCCACCCTACCACTCGCCCACCCTACCACTCACCCACCCCACCACTCACCCATCCATCATCGCTCACCCACCCTACCACTTGCCCACCCTGCCGCTCACCTACCCCACCACTCGCCCATCCACCACTCGCCCACCCCACCACTCGCCCATCCACCACTCATCCACCCCACAACTCATCAGCATTTTCTAGTAAACTATACATTTTTTGGGTCCGGTCGAATAAGTCATCCATACTCTTAAAATCAAAAATGGTCACCCAGTGTTTTATCTTATTTCACCGGGACATGAAATATAGACCCATCGATACACGAGCAACACGTTGCTTCCTTTGCAAAGAGCGACCGCCATGTTATACGAAAACTATTTTAAAAGTACAGATTGGTGTTCTGTCATCATGAAATAGTCGTGGTCAATCGACTGCTGGGTGGTATTGCACTGTTTAACACGTAGGCTTTCGCGACCAATATTATTCATAATAAAGGTTTTTGGGTTAGATCGCGTTATTTATAAATGTGTCGTAACCCTCCACCACCCGACACGGCCAATCGGCAAAAAAAGTGTCACGTTGACAAAAGACAAATAGTTCACTACTTTAGCCCACCGGTGTGTTGAAGAGTGAATCAAACTGTAAATGTTGTGGATTCATTTGTCTATTGTCAACGTGACGCTTTTTTTGCTGATTGGCCGTGTCGGGTGGTGGAGGGTTACGACACATTTATAAATAACGCGCTCTAACCCAAAAACCTTTTATTATGAATGATATTGCACTGCGTGATGTATACAACGTGCACTACATATGTACAATATGCCACTACTGTCAACGATGCAATATACTGTATCACAATAATTTCCTCATCATCATGGTCAATCCCACTGCTGGACCAAAAGGCCTCCCCAAGAGTCGCCGCCACACCTGCTTTTGTAGCAGTCCACACAAGTCGGATTTCATCACTCCATCTCCGCTCTCGACGCCCGCTCTCGACGCCCGCTCTCGACGCCTCGACTGACGCTTATTGGCTGACGCGTCCTGCCCCAAGCCCACCTCTCCCAATAGTTTTGTCGTGAATTTGTGCGTGTTCTCTAATCCGTGCATTTTCCTCTTTCTCTCTGTATTTTGCGAACGCATTCTCGATGCTGTGTTTTGTTGTTGATGACCTTTTTTTTCCGGAATAGTAGGAACAACTGCCATTGGGTAAATACATGCGTCATCTTAGAAAAATTTATCTATTTAGGACGAAGTTGATTTAGTTTTAAGTCGCATTAACCTGTGCGTGAACAGATTTTATGTAATCTGAGGCCGTTTAACATTCGGAGAAAACTCTGAAATAAATGCACTGAACAAAGCACGCAAAGACGGCAGTAGTGGCTGGGGAAATGAAAATAATGGAAGGTTTTGAAAAACTAAAATGAACTTAATTTTTTTGTTACGTTTGGTAACCTTCACCTTTTAGCTACGTGACCTCCAAATGACCCTCAGAATATGGAGCAATGTACATTCCTGTACATGACATTTTAATAAATAAAACGGTGTAGTTACGCTTTCAGTACGTTTTCCAAACCCGTTTTTACCTGAATTCTCTCTGCCGTGTCCTTTCTCAAAGACGTCGGCGATCGTGGCCTTCCATGGCGCTCTCCGTGATATTTATTCAACAACTTATTGGTCTATGGGCAATGTAAAACCATGGGCAATGCTCAGTCTCTGTGCTGTGTCGAGCGTGGGTACCGCGGTGACGTGATGTTACCTCCCTCGCCTGGTATGCAGGAGGTCGTGGGTTCGATTCCAACCCTGACGCCTGCTGTATATTTGGAGTTTTCGTGTCCCTCCCCGTGGTTGCGTGGATTTTTCTTCGGGTCCTCCGATTTTCCCCTCCACATTTTAAAATCACTGCGAGTATTTGGCTGCTAGAAATTCATTGAGCTATCATTTGTGGCCAGGTCGTTTATGAAAAATAGCTCTAGCTCGGTGGGCCTTACTTTGTAAAATAAAAAATAGTTTAGTTTAAATAAAAATTCCACGCGACAACGGGGAGAGAGACGCAAACTCCAAATATTCAGGCGTCAGGGTTTGGATCAACCCCACGACCCTTGCATACAAGGTTAAGGAGTTAACTTCTCGTCACCATGGCGATTACTCCCAGCCAATCCGTGCTGTCGACTCCCTGCCCCTGTTGTAAACGTCCCTGGCCGCCACTCGTCCCGTCGCACCGTCTGCCGGGCCGCGACCGGTGGGCGTGCAGGTATAGGCTGAGGGTTTCGCCCGAGTCCTGAGCCAGCAATCGCCTCCCCACCCCCGTGAGTTCCACTCATTCTTCTCCACGTTCGCGTGGGGTCAAGGCCATGCCGGTGTCTGTGACAATGACGACGCTCGGTGGAGGAGCACGCAGTCTCCCGCTCTGCTCTAACCGTCGCCATCTTCTCGCCCGCAGGTCCGTGCCGGAGCCCGAGCGGTCCTTCGGCCAATCTCCGCGTCCTCCTTCACCCGGACAGACGTCAAGGGGGAGCAGGTAACGCCCTTCCGTTTTAACTTAACGTATTTGAGAAGCAACGGACCGGGTTTATTTTTTGTACGTATGTTGAATTTCTTTCGCACCACATGTAGCCGACCATAGTAATTGTAGTCGCGAAGGAAGGACAGAAAACTAAACACAAAACATTTCTAAAGAAATATTTTTTTTTACTATTTGAATTTGCTCGAAGCCATTCGATGGTGTGTGTGTGGGGGGGATTGCCATTTGATGGGACGTGGGGGATCGCTGGACGGACTCCCATTTTTCTGTGAAAGCACAGCTGGGGCTGATGGGTGGCGTGAGCGGTGGATTACACGTCACCACAGTGACAATTAGACTCGTTGACTCCTATAGACTTGAGCAGGGACACCTGTAGACTGGCACAGATCCGTAGGCTCGCAGAGAAGGACCGACCCGTGTTATACAATGCAACGTGATGTTAGTGATGGTGCACTTCACCCACATGTCGGTCAGACTCGCACAGAGACCCATAGACCAGACATGGGCAAAGTACGGCCCCCGGGCCGTATACGGCCCGTTGGGCTTTTTAATCCGGCCCGCCGAACTTGTCCAAATATTATTATTAAATTAAAATTTACCTTTCTCCTGTAATGCCCCCATTTCCCCATTAGACGGCGCTCTTTTCATGATGTTTGATCGGTCACGTTACGACATGTTTTTGTATTGTTCATGTTCGAGCAATTTGTTTAAATTGCCTTGCAAATAAATGCTTTGCTACCTGTTAAAGGCCAAATCTTTTCATGTAATGATTTTTTACACGTCATTTATATCAGTTCACACAAACACTCCATCCGTCTGTTCCTGGCCCGGAACCCTCTGTCAAATTTTAGAACCCATTGTGGCCCGCGACTCAAAAAATTTGCCCACCCCTGCCATAGACTCGCGCAGTTACCAGTCGACTCAACGTTGAGATCCATAGATGCGCACACAGATCCATACTCATTTTAGAGACCCGTACTCTACAATACGATGTGAGCGGTGGACTACACTTTCACTACACTCACGGTTAGAATCGCATTGACTCAAACATAGACTCGCACCGTTACCTAATAGACTCGCGCAGAAGCCAATAGCTCGTGTTGAGACCTACAGATCCGCACACTGACTCGCAGAGACCCATACAATACAATGTGATGCGAGTGGTGGATTGCACTGTGCCGCAGTCAGTTTGGCCATGACTCCTTATATTCCCACTCATTCAGGAGAAAGCTGCACCTCCCCCCCCCCCCCCTACACCGTACGGTTGGCTACGTACGGTGCAAAATAAGTTGCACCTTTTTTAATGGGGACCCCCGAGTAATTGTTGACGACAAAAGTGTTTCCTAATTATTTTTTGTCAAATTATTAACTTGATAACTTCATCAACCATTAAATTCGTCTAAGCTCGAGATGCAATGATTTCCCTCCACCCCCCAATAGTCTCTAGTGGCTGTGGAACATCGTGCGTGAATTTAAAAGCCTCGATTGTCGCGCACGCCGTTCTATGCTGTGGCAGAATAAGCTTTACGATCTACGGCGGTGTTCGTCATTGCAAGGCCGCTGGCCACCGGCGGCCCCTGGTGGCCTTTAGAGCGTCCCCTGACTACACACGTGAAAACACGCCCCATCGCCGTGCTGTCAAACCACAATGGTTTCAAATGCTGGTGATGTCTTATCGGCGAAAGTGCCCCGCCCCCAAAAATAAGTGATGAACACAGACCTATCGTGTTTGATAAATAAATGCATAATGATTATAATTTAACACGTTTGGTATTCACACCATTCTAGCGGGAGGCTAACCAGGAGGGGCGCCGTGTTTCACAGAGGTCCGCAATAGTTTCACAGTATACACAATTGAGACTGCTTTGTGCAGTCTCAATTGTGTACTTTGTAGATGTTCAAATTGGCTACATTTGAGACGGTGACGCGGGCACAAAGTCTGCCTACTCTTTTAGAAGCGCGTCACAGGTTCTCTTTCACGCCCAAACAGCACGTCGTTCATGCTGCTTCATCCGTCCGTCCCTGTGTTTGTCCATCACAGCTACCTGCGTCTGCCCCGTCCTTCGTCCCTCTATCCTTTCATCTGTCCATCCATTTTCCCCAAAATCTCTCTGTCCATTCGCCTGTGTATGCATGTCCTATCCTTTTGCTCGTTGGGAATATCACGTGAACATTTATTCCGATCACAGACGGTCGTCCAACTTCTCGCTCAATTCAATACTCGATTGCAGCCGCGGCCGCCTGTATCAACACCAACTAACTTTTATCAGTAACATAACAAAATTACAGCCACATCTCCTCTTGCTGTCCTCTGTCCTGAGCTTAGTCACCCTCCTTGTCTTCCTTTCTCATGGGCCTCCCCCACCCCATACATCCGGCTTGTACCCACCCCCCCCCCCACCGGAACTACCTTCGTGGCTACCCTGCCTCGTATCTTTCCCTAACCCCCCCTCCATTCTCGGTCATTACACTACGTCCATCCCTTACCTTGCCATCGTCTGTCCGTACGCTTGTGTATGCATCATTTCGTTTGTGCATCCGACCATCCCGTCAAACCACATGGCTGTCCTGTCCTTTGTCCATCTTTCCATTCGTGTGTCCGATCATCAGTTCGCCCATTTGCCTGTCTGCGCTGTCCTTTGTCCATCCCTTTTTTATGTGTTTGTCATCAGCTTGTCCGTGTGTCTTAAAATCGATCCTTTTCTTCCCGTGTCTGTCTGCATGCCCGCCCGTGTCCGCCGATGCTTTGCCTTTGTAACCATCCCCCCCCCCCCCTCTCTCCCCTCCACCTCTGTTGGCAGGCGGGCTCCATGGTGTCAGCGCCATCCGGACTGGCGCTGGTGGCACGCCGTGACTTCCAGACGAGCGCGGTGTCGCGCGACATCGACACGGCCGCCAAGTTCATCGGCGCCGGCGCCGCCACGGTGGGGGTGGCCGGATCGGGCGCCGGTATCGGGACCGTCTTCGGCAGCCTCATCATTGGCTATGCCAGGTACGAGCCGCCGCTAAAGTCATCGTTGCCATCCCCTTCAGCGTCATGGGAAAGCGTTTACACTTTGCAGACTGCATCGGTAGCGATGCACAAGTGCCGATTTAAACAAAACTCTGCTCCTTAATCCACATTACATTAAAACAATAAAATATAGACTGACGATTTTGGGAATTGGCTTTTTGGGGGGGAGATGCCGCTACACTTCTCTGCGTAGAGTAATGACGTCTTTAAAAACAACGTCGCTACGCCTCTCTAAACAAAATGAACGCCGAGCCACTTGCTTGGGTTCCGAGATTCGGCGGTGAAGGGGGACGCCCACCGTGCAACTTGCCAGACGTCTTTGAACGGGTTAATGCAGCAAAAGCTAGCTGTTATCCAGCACTTTACAATCCGGAATGCTCTATTAACCGGTGATAAAAATTCCGACAGCCATCCGGCATTTTGCCGTGCACTTATCATAGATCCGTTGTTTACGGAAGCTTCAGGACGCTGCCGAGTGGCAGCCCGTACGTACATTACTGCACTACTGTATACCGTACTCTAAAGGACTCAACTGCTTCTCTAGAATCAACTTGGAATGCTCTCCAACTGACTGGGAGTTCTTTCGTGAAAAGTTTTATGTATTTGAAAAGTTTGGCGAACCACAAGTTAACATCTCTCTGATAGCCGGCATGTCCATGGATATGCCGGATAACGGAGAGCTTATGCTGTGTAGACAAAAAACGTTGAATGCCACGCATCAATAACAACTTCCATTTGGTGTGCTATGAAGAAGGGCCATCATCACAGAAATGTCAATATTTATAATTTTTGTATTTTAAGGCAGTGTGTGACGAATATGACGTTTTTATTTATTGTTTACAGTGCTTGTGCGCCACTACCAATGGAGCATCGCCAATTAATTACATTTTGAATGTAATTAATGGTGCGGTAATAATAATTTGCATTTGTAAAGTGGTGCATTTCACCTGTGCATCTCACCAATGCACCACCGTGTATGGAAAGCCAGGAAATAAACGGAACCTGCACAGGATAAACGGCCAGAACTCGTGGGGGGGGTGAAAGACAATTTACTCACTCACCCACTCACTCGGACCCAGGGTAAACGTCCAGAACTAGTGGGGGGTAAAGACCACTTTACCCACTCGCCCACCGACTCACTACATCGCCTACTCACCCACCCACCTACTCGCTCCCCCCACCTACGCACCCACTCGCCCATAACCAGCAGTGTAAACGGCCAGAACAATTGGGGGGGGGGGTGAAGGCCAATCTATAGAGGTGAGTTTTCAAGACTGGACTGAAATATATCTGCTAACGACTCCGATTGTGTTAATTAGCAAAGGCAAAGCATTTTAAAGCTTGGGAGCTGCACTTGCAAAAAGCCTAATCACCCCAGGAGCAGAGCTGATCTGAAGATCTCTGAGGCCACGGATTATCACGATGGATTAGTTCCTGTACATATTGCGAGGCTAACACAGCACCGCCACCAGAGGGCAGCAGTGACATGACGGTGTTGTTGATGGGCAAAAGCATTTTACAAGGCTTGAGACAACCCGCCCATTGCAGGTTTAGTCGAGGTTAAAGTGACCGTTAGGTCCCGCATTATTTATTTTAATGCACATTTTTGGTTGTTCCACACTTATTAGCGCCTCTTAATGCTATTATCAGCTACTCTACGCGACCTGCAACAAATGGCACCATTAAAGTTATAATATATTATCTTTAATGGTTACATTGCTAGAATAAAGCAAGGTTATTGTGAGAACTTGGAAGAATAAATCATTTGACGGAATAAGGAAGTTGAGCAGTTTTGGTGGTTAAAGATTGTGGATGAAACTCGTCGATTGGTTTGGTTGACCCGAGTCCTTGGCACGGGTGGAGGAATCAACGATTGAAATTCACGGGAACGGTGACCACGATAGTAGCGACAGGAGAGTGATAAGGAGGCATCTGGCCATTGGTGACCTTGAGTGAATCGCTCACTGCTGAATCCTCAATCAACCTCGAATGCTTTTAAGTTGAATTCTATCAAGGTGCAGTTTGGTAGGGAGCAGAGTTATTTTCGTTAGAATTCATCATTCCATTTATAAGGGGCGCAAATTGGACTTCAAAAGGGTATTCGGAGACGCGTTTCATATCGATTGTGTTGCAATGACTCAGTATTTTATGGCAGGCTTGTGCTGAGTGAACTGCAGATTGAAGGACGCTCCAGTCATCTTTATTGGAACTTCAAAATTTCTCCTGCACGGTGTCGATAAAAATGTTTTTTTGTATGTTTTCATTGTCCCCTTCCCCCACACCTCCGATCAACACGGTTGGCTACGTACGGTGGCGAAAGAGTGTCAAATGCATGCGCACAATTGCACTCGGAAGTAGAGAAAATCGCGAAATACAAAAAAAATTACAATACTGACTCGGAACGCTCTTTGCCTCGCAGAAACCCGTCTCTGAAGCAGCAGCTGTTCTCCTACGCCATCCTGGGCTTCGCGTTGTCCGAGGCCATGGGGCTCTTCTGTCTCATGGTGGCTTTCCTCATCCTGTTCGCCATGTGAAGCTCCCCCTGGGTGGCGGCGGGTGGCGGTGGTGGGTGGATGGGTGCACCTGATGGCGAGAGGAGGGGGGAGAGGCGAGGAGGCAGCTGCGCTTGCACAACGTTGAAGAACTCCGCACACAAAACCCCTGTTCTATTCCTTATTTACGGTTTTTCCTCGATTTTTTTTCTCACCGGCACCAAAGCTTCCCCGTTGGCCTGGCGGCTGTTGTAAACGCGGCCCTTCCCGTAGTTTCGATTGAATGATTGTTGCAGACGTGCGAGCTTTCGGCTTGGTAGTATCGTACGTTCAGAACAAAACGGACGACATATCTTGTACGTACACCGGTGGCTCTTAACCTTTGCATGGTATGGCGCTTACTCAGGCTACCTCGGCCACAATACACGGACGGATCTCACGTTCTGCGCCTCCAGTCAACGTGGTGTTTGTAAGCCAATCGTTTCGGCCGCCGTGTATCTGTGCGTCTCGTTGCGCTGACGTCGTCCCCGCCACTCCCACCACCCATCGCGCGCATTCAAAATTGCTCTTGCACGGTGTCCATGCCGCAGTCTGAAAGGCTTTCTCGAGCTTCCTCCGAGAAAGGGGGTGGGGTGGAGGGGGGTGGTCGGGGGCATGCGACCCGCGGGTTTTGAACTGCTGTCTCGAAGAGAGGTGCGCCGTCCGAGGTGACTACTGAGCGGAATCTTTTCCGATTTTGAGTTTGGCTCCGCGTCGCTTCGTGGCACCGCGACGCGTGGGCGACTACATAAATTGCACCGTCCGCCTCGCGAATGTGGCTGATGGGGTGGGGGATAACGGGGTGCAGTGAAAATAAAAAAAAAATTGTTTTTCGCGGGGAAAAAAAATGTTATCGAGTCGGGATGAAGCTCTTCACGTCCGCGCGATTGCGTCTGCCTCCATGAGGATGTGAGGGCGTTAAGGCCCTTGTCTCCGTGTACTGTACAGCTAATTGGTCGGACTGCACTTGAAATGTACGTTCATTTCTAGAAACTGGTTTCTCGCCCAAATAAAGGTAATGTCCGGAACAATGTGCGCAGACGCCTCTGTTCTGAGTGGTGTGGTCGGTGGGCAAGGGTGGAGTGGTGGGACAGCTGTGGAGGAGCTCTCCCATGCCTTTGGCTTACGATGAGCTCTGGTTGGCAGCGGAGGTTTCGCTTCAAATCGGTAGTCGGCAAGATTTGTTTTTTTTATCTGCAATGCGACGGGGAAGGCATCTGGCCTGTTGCTCAACACGAAGCGCCGGGTCTTCTCAGCCACAAGTTATACCCTCACTTTTTCTATGGTTGTCAAACGTTAATCACATTTCACAGGAACACCTGCACCGGCTTGGGTTTAACCAGATTGGATTGCGCGAGGAACTCTGATCCTTCCGCAGATCTGGACGCAGTCCCATCCGTGTGAGCTCTGGCAGGCAAGGCTTGTTTTGGCTGTAACGTGTCGCCCACATCTCCCAGTCACTGAATACCCAAGCAGCTGCTGTTTGGTTGGATAGAGCGGGCGAGGAGATGAACTGCTGATGCGCTACAGGAGGTTGTGGAGTCGAGTGGACTTGCTGATTGGTACCAGCGGTGTCAAGATCGGCCTCTTTGGGGGAGGGACGTGAAGCATGATGTTGCTGGAAAGTTGAAAGGCAGTCTCCTTCCCAAGGGGTGGGGCATACATTTAAGGGGGCGTAAAATCTGGGCGGGGCTCACCGCCAAATTTGGCGGGACCATCGTCACCGTCGCCGCACCCTTTTCTGATTGGGCGCTTGGGAAGAGTGGGCGTGGACATCGCCGCAGTGGGCCCCGCCCGCTCGATATCGTCGCTCTTGGATTGGCTGCCCACGCAGCCCGGTGGGCGGGGCGTTGACGACGATGACCTCTCCAACTTCGCGCACGCCCACAAAGTACCACTTTGATTACTGTTGAAGGATACTTTTGCCTGTTACTCAACAGCTACTGCCAACTTAACTTCATTCGGATAAAAAAATGTAAATGATCATCCGGCATTACCAAACACCCGACTCGCTTTTTCTGGTTTATACATTGATGTGCTATGAAAAAGGCTCATTGCCCGAAACGTCGCCTGTTATACAGTATACCGTGTGAATTTGTAACAATCGCCATTCGCCACAAAGTGGCGGTGACTTCACCAGGGCGCTCGTGCCAGGCTAGGTGCACGTTAAGACCACCAGGGTCTGTCCCGAGACCTGTCGGCGAACCTTCTGACACTTCACGTGGCCTCAAAGTGCACATAGCCTGGCGCAGACGCCAAGGTGACGTCTCCGTCACTGAGTGGCGAATTGCGGGTAGTAGTATTGGTTAAGCCACGTGAAGTGTCCAACGCCCGCTGGCAGATCACGGGACAGACCCAGCAGGTGCCACGGGTCCACTAAGATGACCGGCCGATGCACCACCTGTGCCCCCGACTGTGCCAACTTCATTTGCAAGGGCACACACAAACACACGCAACGCACAACACAATCAAACAAACACAATCAACACAACAACCGCCATTCGCTAAGTGGCGGTGACGTCACGACGACGCTTGTGCCAGGCTAGGTGCACGTTCAGTTCAGTTTATTTTGGTATAGCCCTGTGAGCCATCCGGCTCTTGAATCGGGTGCAACCACAACAAACAAAAAAACAAAAACATGAACAAGAAAACATCTTAAAGTGACTATGTGTGACTGTGCAAACAGAAAATCCATGAAAAAACAGCAAAATATTCCTGAAAAAAGCACCGTACACCAACGCTGTGTGCAATAAATCCCAGTGGGATGCAAGTCAAACAACAACAACAACCACAAGAAAACTTAGATTAAGGCCATCAGTCTAACTCCGTACTACAACAAAACAAACATGTCCAAACCAAAAAACGTTTTCCAAATCATCAAAAAATAAAGCCATAATTGCAACGTAACAGTGATCACAAGGACTGTGACCGAATCTTTACAATAAACTACATAAATAACATGTAACACCAAAACCCTAGAGCCATAGCTGGCTGCATGAGTTACTCCACAACAGAAGCATCGGTCGGAGTATCACATTTTTCAATGCACCTTTAAGATCAGCACGCCAAATCAAAATACAGATAATACTTTGCAGCGTCATCCGGAGCGAAACATTGTATTTTACGCCAATGAATAGCAGTGGCAGCTATGGGTGTACAACTCCTCTAGAGCAGTTTTGAGGCCACGTGAAGTGTCGAACGCCCGCCTGCAGGAGGTCACGGGGAAGACCCAGCAGGTGCCACGGGTTGGCTGAGATGACCGGTAGATGCACCACCAGCTGTACCCCCCTACTGTGCCAGGCTAGGTGCAGGAGGAGGTCTCGGGACAGACCCAGAAGGTGCCACGGGTTGGCTGAGATGACCGATAGATTCACCACCAGCTGTACCCCTCTACTGTACCAGGCTAGGTGCAGCAGGAGGTCACGGGTCGACTGACTGAGATGACCGGCCGATGCACCACCAGCTGTACCCCCTACTGTGCCAGGCTAGGTGCAGCAGGAGGTCACGGGTCGACTGACTGAGATGACCGGCCGATGCACCACCAGCTGTGCCCCCTATTGTGCCAGGCTAGGTGCAGCAGGAGGTCACGGGTCGACTGACTGAGATGACCGACCGATGCACCACCAGCTGTGCCCCCGTACTGTGCCAACTTGCTGTGCTAAAACACAACACGCACAAACGCACGCCGAAGGGGGTAGGTAGCGACTTGACTTTAAAAAAAAAATAGCGCCGCGATAATTAATTAATTTATTCGCTTCGCAGGAAGTTGTCGCGCGCGCGCGCTGGGCTGTGGGGCGGAGGTGACGTCACGGCGGCGGGGTACTGGGGGGCGCGCGCGCGCACCGCCGTGTTTACTCGCCGCCGCGCCGCGCTCGGGGGAGGTAAGCGCGGAGCTCCGCCCCGACAAAGTAGTTCACCCAAGCGGCCTTAACTTCTTAAAAAAAAACTTTGTCAAACTTTCGCTTTTGTTATTTTGACATTGCGTGCGTAACAAAACAAAAATTAACGTCACGTTTTCCTCCCAGGAAAAGCGGCTCGTTTTAATGGTAGGCGACAAGGACGATAGCCGCGTGATTTGAGTTATTTTTTTTTTAAAAATTATTTGCTTTGCGCTATTTTAATTTTAGCCCTGTGGAGTTTCCCCATAACTGTTAATTAGTTATTACTTTATTACATTGACGGTTACATGTTTAACACACTTCAAATGCACTTTCATAACGTGTACATTTTCCATCACGGTGTTAAAGTCTGCCTGGTATTTACGTTGCGATCCGTATAACCAATCAAGTTCACCTCCAGTAAAGTTACTTTTTCATACTTTACTTTAAGATTTTTGCTTTTAAATAAGGGAAAGAATGTATTTAGGTTTTTTTTTCCACGCGATGTGTGTGTTTTTTTAAAAGAGCGTTTGTGTTTAAAGATCGTCTCCATTCCTAGCGTGTGCTTTCTGTATACGAGACCCCTCCACGTGTTTTTAGTACTGTATGTGTGCACACGTGTGTGTAGTTGTGTGCACGCGTGCGTGTGTAGTTGTGTGTGCACGCGTGTGTGTAGTTGTATACGCGTGTGTGTGTAGTTGTGTGTGCACGCGTGTGTGTAGTTGTGTGTGCACGCGTGTGTGTGTAGTTGTGTGCACGCTTGTGTTCCGTGTGTGAACTTGTGTGTAGTTGTGTACGCGTGTATTCCGTGTGTGTCCTTGTGAACTTGTGTGTCCTTGTGAACGTGTGTGAACTTGCGTGTACGCGTGTGTACTAACCTGTACACTTGCACGTATAATGTGCACAAGTCTCTACACCCATGCGTGTATAGTGTAATACGTGTGCGTAGCGGGGTGTATCTCGCACACTTGCGAATACAGTTTGGGTGTACATTGTGTGTGTGTGCAAGTGTTGTGTACATTGTGTGTGTGCAAGTGTTGTGTACAGGTGTGTGTATTTGTGCAAGTATTGTGTGTGTGTGCAAGTGTTATGTACATGTGTGTGTGCAAGTGTTGTGTACAGGTGTGTGTAATTGTGCAAGTGTTGTGTACATGTGTGTGTGCAAGTGTTGTGTACATGTGTGTGTATTTGTGCAAGTGTTGTGTACATGTGTGTGTGTGCAAGTGTTATGTACGTGTGTGTGTGTATTTGTGCAAGTGTTGTGTACATGTGTGTGTGTAATTGTGCAAGTATTGTGTACGTGTGTGTGTGTGCAAGTGTTGTGTACATGTGTGTGTGTATTTGTGCAAGTGTTGTGTACAGGTGTGTGTAATTGTGCAAGTGTTGTGAACATGTGTGTGTGTGTGCAAGTGTTGTGTACAGGTGTGTAATTGTGCAAGTGTTGTGTACAGGTGTGTGTGTAATTGTGCAAGTGTTGTGTACATGTGTGTGTAATTGTGCAAGTGTTGTGTACGGGTGTGTGTGTAATTGTACATGTGTTGTGTACGTGTGTGTGTAATTGTGCAAGTGTTGTGTACATGTGTGTGTAATTGTGCAAGTGTTGTGTACATGTGTGTGTGTAATTGTGCAAGTGTTGTGTACATGTGTGTGTGTGTGTGCAAGTGTTGTGTACAGGTGTGTGTGTGTAATTGTGCATATGTTGTGTACAGGTGTGTGTGTAATTGTGCAAGTGTTGTGTACGGGTGTGTGTGTAATTGTACATGTGTTGTGTACATGTGTGTGTGTGCAAGTGTTGTGTACAGGTGTGTGTGTAATTGTGCAAGTGTTGTGTACAGGTGTGTGTGTAATTGTGCATGTGTTGTGTAGTGTGAGTGAGTGGGTGTAGTGTGGGGAGCGGTGGTGTAGCGGTTAGCGCTACGCTGCGCTATGAACCTGGGCGACCCGGGTTCGATTCCCGCTCACGGCCAACATCAGTGACGATTATCTGAACCGGTCCCGGGCCTCCCCTAGGTCGACTCAGCCTCAAATGAGTACCTGGTGCGGTGTGTAAACATTGCCACTAGGGAGACAAAGGCGGTCGGGCGTGGTGCTGGCCACCCACCCCCTCGTGTACCGTTCCGGCCTTCATAGGTGCTCGCTAACAGCACTTGCCCCTACAGTCTGTTAAGGCTATATGGGGGATCTTTGTCTTTGTTCCCGTGGGGAGCGGTGGTGCAGCGGTCAGCGCTACGAACCCGGCCACCCAAGTACGATTCCCGCTCACGGCCACCAACACCGGTAACGATTCTCTGAACCGGTCCTGGGCTTCTCCCCTAGGTCGACTCGGCCTGAAATGAATGAGCTGGTGCAGTGTGTAGTAAACATCGCCACTGGGGAGACAAAGGCGACTGGTCGTGGTGCTGGCCACCCACCCCCTCGTGTGCCGTGCCGGCCTTAATAGGTGCTCGCTAACAGCACTTGCCCCAACAGTCTGTTAAGGCTATGCGGGGGGATCTGTGTACATTGTAGGGGGCACAGGTGATGTATCGGCCACTCATCTCAGTCGACCCATGGCCACCTGATGGGTCTGTCCCGTGACCTCCTCCTGCACCTAGCCTGGCACAGTTTGGGGTACAGGTGATGTATCGGCCACTCATCTCAGTCAGTCGACCCATGGCCACCTGATGGGTCTGTCCCGTGACCTCCTGCCAGCGGGCGTTCGACACTTCACGTGGCCGCAACGTGTACCTAGCCTGGCACCGCCACTTAGTGGCGAATGGCCGTTGTTGTACATTGTAAGGCCAAGCGAGCATTCGGTTAAGCAGATGTTGAGGTGGTCAGGCACATTGAAGAAGGCAACGAAGATGCACACGTTACAGCCCTTAGGTCAACGAAGATGTACACGTTACAGCTCTTAGCTCAACGAAGATGCACACGTTACAGCCCTTAGGTCAACGAAGATGCACACGTTACAGCTCTTAGGTCAACGAAGATGCACACGTTACATCTCTTAGGTCAATGAAGATGCACACGTTACATCTCTTAGCTCAACGAAGATGCACACGTTACAGCCCTTAGGTCAACGAAGATGCACACGTTACAGCTCTTAGGTCAACGAAGATGCACACGTTACATCTCTTAGGTCAACGAAGATGCACACGTTACAGCCCTTAGGTCAACGAAGATGCACACGTTACAGCTCTTAGGTCAATGAAGATGCACACGTTACATCTCTTAGGTCAACGAAGATGCACACGTTACATCTCTTAGGTCAACGAAGATGCACACGTTACATCTCTTAGGTCAACGAAGATGCACACGTTACATCTCTTAGGTCAACGAAGATGCACACGTTACATCTCTTAGGTCAACGAAGATGCACACGTTACATCTCTTAGGTCAACGAAGATGCACACGTTACATCTCTTAGGTCAACGAAGATGCACACGTTACTGCCCTTAGGTCAACGAAGATGCACACGTTACAGTCCTTAGGTCAACGAAGATGCACACGTTACATCTCTTAGGTCAACGAAGATGCACACGTTACATCTCTTAGGTCAACGAAGATGCACACGCTACATCTCTTAGCTCAACGAAGATGCACACGTTACAGCCCTTAGGTCAACGAAGATGCACACGTTACAGCTCTTAGGTCAACGAAGATGCACACGTTACATCTCTTAGGTCAACGAAGATGCACACGTTACATCTCTTAGCTCAACGAAGATGCACACGTTACAGCCCTTAGGTCAACGAAGATGCACACGTTACAGCTCTTAGGTCAACGAAGATGCACACGTTACAGCCCTTAGGTCAACGAAGATGCACACGTTACAGCTCTTAGGTCAACGAAGATGCACACGCTACATCTCTTAGGTCAACGAAGATGCACACGTTACATCTCTTAGGTCAACGAAGATGCACACGTTACATCTTAGGTCAACGAAGATGCACACGTTACAGCCCTTAGGTCAATGAAGATGCACACGTTACATCTCTTAGGTCAACGAAGATGCACACGTTACTGCCCTTAGGTCAACGAAGATGCACACGTTACAGTCCTTAGGTCAACGAAGATGCACACGTTACATCTCTTAGGTCAACGAAGATGCACACGTTACAGCTCTTAGGTCAACGAAGATGCACACGTTACAGCCCTTAGGTCAACGAAGATGCACATGTTACATCTCTTAGGTCAACGAAGATGCACACGTTACATCTCTTAGGTCAACGAAGATGCACACGTTACATCTCTTAGCTCAACGAAGATGCACACGTTACAGCCCTTAGGTCAACGAAGATGCACACGTTACAGCTCTTAGGTCAACGAAGATGCACACGTTACAGCCCTTAGGTCAACGAAGATGCACACGTTACAGCTCTTAGGTCAACGAAGATGCACACGCTACATCTCTTAGGTCAACGAAGATGCACACGTTACTGCTCTTAGGTCAACGAAGATGCACACGTTACATCTTAGGTCAACGAAGATGCACACGTTACAGCCCTTAGGTCAATGAAGATGCACACGTTACATCTCTTAGGTCAACGAAGATGCACACGTTACTGCCCTTAGGTCAACGAAGATGCACACGTTACAGTCCTTAGGTCAACGAAGATGCACACGTTACATCTCTTAGGTCAACGAAGATGCACACGTTACTGCTCTTAGGTCAACGAATATGCACACGTTACAGCCCTTAGGTCAACGAAGATGCACACGTTACATCTCTTAGGTCAACGAAGATGCACACGTTACAGTCCTTAGGTCAACGAAGATGCACACGTTTCATCTCTTAGGTCAACGAAGATGTACACGTTACATCTCTTAGGTCAACGAAGATGCACACGTTACATCTCTTAGGTCAACGAAGATGCACACGTTACAGCCCTTAGGTCAATCCACTGCTGGATGAGTCAAAACTCTGAAGAGGATAGTGGGGGGAGAAAAGGGAAAGTCTCTTTATTCAAATCGATCATCCCACACCCCCTCCTTGGCCTGACCACCCGTCATTGTTATCA